ACGCGACAAGGAAGAGGGAGTCCTCGATGGTGTTGGAAAAGGTGAGGGAGCTGATGGAGCTGGGTGCTGCCGAGGCCCCACTCAGGGTGGAGGCGGGCGGAGGACTGGAGGAAGCCACAGAGCCAGCGGGCGGGTGGGTCCTCTAGCCCAGTGGTCGGCAAACTCATTAGTCAACAGAGCCAAATATCAACAGTACAACGATTGAAATTTCTTTTGAGAGCCAAATTTTTTAAACTTAAACTATATAGGTAGGCACATTGTTATTAACTTAATTAGGGTACTCCTAAGCTGGCCTTTGCTAAAAATGTCCTCAATCTGATTGAGGGACGTTCGCTGAGGTCGACCCCTTCCAACTCTCCCATCCACACTCGTCCTGTATACTTGTTCCGTCTATCTCCTTTCGTTCATCCTCTCTATATGTCCAAACCATCTCAACATACCTCTCTCAGTCCTCGACACTACATCTTCTTTCACTCCACAACGTTCCCTGTACGTGTGTGCCCACACGTGGTATTTTGTGGAAGAGCCACACTCAAGGGGCCAAAGAGCCGCGGTTTGCGGACCACTGCTCTAGCCTGTGGCGCCCTTGGAGCTACTTCTCAGACTTGGGCCGATCCTTTTGGCCTCTGTGACTTATGGCCAAAAACAACTTGTAAAATTTGGGCCACTTAGATCTCGGTACCTGGGAACACTGCATATCCCAGAAGGCCCTGGGCTCCCTATCCCTCCTCCCCTCCTTTGGCCACGCCTTTGCTGGATTTGCAGTTATGAATGGTCAGGTCAGGTGTGGGGTGGAGATGAGACGGGGAAGGCAGGGGGTCAAAGCAGGGCTCTGGCTGCCTCAGAAAGAAGTTCCTGTGTGGAAAGGGTGGCGACCCAGTTTGGGGTTTGCTGCCCTCTTCCTGCCCGTTCGGTGTGGCCAGCAGGCAGTGTCGGGCCCAGCCGAGCCGCTCCCTGGCCAGTGCGCTGTTCACGGGCGTGAGCATGTTCCCCATTCAAACCCGCTGGAGTGGGCGGCCGCCCTGGGCGCTTGCGCGCGCCTTGTTAGCATTTCCTCATCTCCCGGGTAGTTTCGTGGGAACTGGCATTGCCAGCAGAGTGCCAGCTCAATGGTGAAGACCTGTCCCCCTAGCCCTTGAATGAAGACCAGGGACACCTATGGGGCACCTCCTTTAGGGCTACCCCCAAACAGCCAGGATGCATCAGCCCCGGAGAGCGCCAGCCACCGCACCATGTCCCTCAGTTGGCTGGACCACAGCGTTCCATTTGTTCACTGTTCTGGCCTCTCTTTCTGTTAGCAACATCTTGCTTTCGCGCTGAAGTATTTTGATTCCGAGGAAAAATGGGCGGTCTTCCAAAGCATAAAGGTAAAAGCCACGCTGGACACTGTGGCAGCCGGAGCAAATGTTCCATTCCAGGTCTCACCGCTGCATCTGGAAGAGCTGGGATTCCACAGAGACTCGGGCCAAAGTATGTGGCTCATGGCTCTATATCCCTGTGTGTGCGCGTCTCCGCAGGCCTGGGCTACGTTGCAGGAGCGGGTTAGTCCTTCTCACTGAATGAGGTAGACCATATTACTAGTGCTGTTAGAGAGTTCTTATAACTGCAACTTTCCACTTACGGTTATTTTTATCAATACCTCAAGATTTTCCTTACTTTTCAAAATTAAAAATCTATAGAAACAAATACAAACTAAAAACTAAGAAACATGTTTCGGAGATATTAGGGTTCGGGAGAAGGTGGGAGGCGGTGCCATGTTTAACTGGAGCCCTGGCAGTCAGAGAGCAAAGCCTGCAGAGGCAGACGGCCTGGCTGAGCAGCCATGGGGCTGACGGTGGGGCTGGCGGTGGCGCTGACAGCGGCTGGCAGGAGACCTCTCTGTATTCCGCGTAAGGGCTTCTCCCTCATTTAGCTTCCAGTGGTGCTCTGCTTCTAACTGAGCTGCTGAATCTGAGCATCAGTGTTCTCATCTGTAGAATATAAGGGACTAATTCCCGCTAATGACACCTTTGCCCTGGAAAGACAAGGGAGGGAACCGCCAGGCTGCCTGGTTACTGCGACACTGGCGCCTGGCCCAGAGCTCCCCTTACCTCCTGACCTCAGTGCTGCCAAAACCCCATGCTTTTTGAGTTTTTGTTACAAACAGCTGTTTGTAATCTGTTTTGTTACAGATTTTTCTTACAAAAATCTGATTCAGAACAGTTTAAGTTCCAAGGGAATGTATTATGAAATATTGGGGTACTCAGGATTTGGAGGAAGGGTTGGCTCTACTGGGAAAAGCAAAGACAGTTCTGGGACCTCACGGCTTCTTCCTAGACTTTTCCCTGGAGCAGGGCCAGGACCACCACCGGCTGATCTGCTCTCAATCTCTGCGGCTTGGGCGCCAAGGCTCAGATTGCTGGAGGCCCAATCTGGTTGGTTTAGCTGTTGGGTCAGCCGTCTCCCTGAGAACCCACAAACCCACTTTCCATGGTTGGGGGCCCAGTGAGATACATGTACATATACAGGATGTACGAAGCATGGGGGAGGGTAGAGAAGTGTTGGGGGCATAAGGTGGGATTGCTGAGATACACCAAGAGGTGTCTGCGATCCCCTCTCTATGCATTTGACCAGCAGCCTCTTCATGACCACACCTGCACTCCCCCAGGGGGCGGCCCAAAGTCATGTTCAGCTGTTGTAACCACCATGTCATGAGCTCTCTGTCCCTGAAGTCCAGCACCTCTACTAGCTTGTCATTTGCTGCTTTGCTCTTCAGTACGTAAATGTTCATGACCCTCATATCCAGGGATGCAGTCTGACTTCTGTGGACCCTAAGCATTTTTGTCTTTTCTGGACACTTTCCTAAAAAATTCAAAAGTATATTTTATGACTATGTTGGTTATAGATAGTATATTAATATTATAAATTAATTTTTTCAACCTAAAAGTTTATTTTTTTAAAAAAGTAAACATTTTTATGAACCCAAAAAATATTGTGGGTCCTATGCACGGTGTCTACTATGCCTAATAGATAAGTGGACCCTGATTGTGTCTTTGTGTAAAGTTTTGTACTTTATTAATAAAAACCCCTTTTCCTGTTTACTGGATTTGTCTTGATCAGCGATTTTCAATGGTGTGCCACAAGAACTTTTAAAACACGCAGCACCTGACTATACAGGGGCACTGACCTCTTTCCCCTTAGGTTGTCAAGTAAAAAAATGACAGCAGCCAACACAACAATAGCCGTCCAATGGGAATGAACCAAAATGATATCGGTGGCGTGGAGCTGCCACAGCCGCCACATCTGGCCACATCTGTTTTGACCACGTCCTTGTGCCTGCCTACCTGTCACTCTAACCCTTTCACTAAGAGTGTTGGAGTATTCCCAGTGTTGACAAGCTCCCTTCTGGTTTGTTCCAAGTCCAGATCCCACTGTCAGCCTCTAGGTGGAGATAGGACCTATTTAATACTCTCCCGTTTTAAAGAGCATTTTAGCCACGGTTCCGTGGTTGAGCATCGACCTATGAACCAGGATGTCGCAGTTCGATGAAATGACAGAAGCAAATATGACTTCTTTCTTGGTCTTAAATATTCATTAAAGTGATTAACAAAAACCCTGATGACTGTACTCTAAACCAGGCCTATGTCTGAAAAACTGATATACACGTATCTTTGACCTTTTGAAGTCGGAGATGTACTTCCCCCTGACTGACTCAGAAGGAGTGTAAGGTGATCCGATGAGCACAGAGCTATGGGACGTCTGCTCCCATAAGCTGATGCAAATGACAATATAAAAAATAACTATAATATGTTATTCTCTTATGCCTGTTATTTATAATCCTGATCTATAGTGATTGTTAAACTTGGAAAACATTCTTAGTGACTGACATGCTTTGTCCTGTATGAATTTCAGTAGCAGATTCAGGCTCAGCCCTGGCTGGTGTGGCTCAGTTCGTTGAGCGTCCTCCTGTGCACCAAAAGGTCGCCAGTTTGATTCCCCGTCAGGGCATGTGCCCGGGTTGTGGTTTCCATCCTTGGTTGGGGTTTATACGGGAGGCAACTGATCAATGTATCTCTCTCACGTCGACATTTCTCTCTCTCTCTCTCTCTCTCTCTCTCTCTTACTTTCTCTCTCTCTAAAAATATCAAAAAAATATATTTAAAAAAAAATTAGTTGCAGTGAAAGTGACATAAAGTGAACAATTTAGCATAGTCACAAGGTTGTACAACCACCATCTCTATCTAGTTTCAAAACATTTCTACTACTCCCAAGTAACACCACTTACCCATTGAGCGGTCCCCATCATTTTAAGTACCATTTACAAACTCTTAAATGGGCTGTGCAAATTAAAGTATACTTACCTGGAGAGCTAGGCGCTGTGAGTGCTGAGGAGTGAGGCTGACTTTCTGAAGTACAAGCTTCATTCTGATTAAGAACAACTTCTAATTGTCTCCACCTCTGGTAACGACTATATTCTTGTTTTATGTTCTGAAAAATTTGCTCTAAATAAAAAAAGAAACACACTTGAACATTCACTTGAGTCACTTCTTATCCTTCTCCCCATGTAATAAATATTAACAAGAAAAATATTTATACTGAATAAACCATTCCTCCTATAACCCCCAAAGTGTGCCCTCTTATTATCACTATTTCAACAATATGTAGAGTAGCAATTATTTTGGCATATGCCACTCAGACAGTTCTCTTTGCTTGTTTCCAGTGACAATGAAGACCAGAGTTACTGTTTGCTGTAGCATTAACTACAACTTACAAGGAAAAAAAATCTTTCACCTAATAGGGAACTATTTTTTATCTTCCTTAAGTTGCACAATTTCACAAATCAGGGTACTAGGGGTGAGTCTCTTACCACCCAAGGCCTTCTAACAGTGAAACTCTTGTCCTGTTTGGACTCAAGATCTTTAGAGAAGAGGAAAGCAGAAACCATTATATTTATAGCTAGAGGAAGATCTGAAATTTATTGCTTGGAATTCATGAACAGGACCTGGGGCAAAGCTCAGTGCTCACACCCGCCCACAGGTGGACATGGACCAGGAGTTGGGGGCAACTGGCTCAACTTGAGAAGCAGGGACAGCCTCCGAGAGTTCCTCCCAGGCCAGGGCACTTCCTAGGACACACCCTGAACACAGATGCTCATTAAATGCTCCCAAACTCATGTGCAATGAAATGGATTGCACCCCAAGAAAGAGGAAGGAAGCAGAAATACCACCTATTGGCTGAGGTCTTTGTCGTCCTTAAATGAATGAAAAGGAAGTTGAATGTAGTAATTGAGAAAGTAAAGAGCAATACCATCTTAGAAAGGTATACAAACATTTGCATCCTATGCCCACATCACTGGGAATGAAAGCAGGGCCCAATTTGTAGACTGAAGCTGACCCCAGGCTTAAAGGAACAGCCTGCAGGATAGGGCAACAGTTCAGCAGCCTCAGGCGTGCTGCTGGGCCAAGATCTCAATCAAGGCATCTTCCTGTCCGCACGGCGGTCATGGCCTGACCAGAATCTGATTTCAGTGGCCTCATTCGCTCTGTCATTTTGCTTTTCTGCCTCAACTTCATCACCGAATGAGACAGTGGAAGGGCAATATCTACCACTTTCCAGAGGTTCTTACCTCGCTGGCCTCTGAAATGGAGAGTGACGCTCACCGCGAGGGCGAGGAGCCCCAGCACAAAGCCCCCGACTCCAGTCAGCATCTTGCTCCGGGCGGAATCTGACTGAGCCTCTGGGAAGAACAGACCCAGGGTCAGCCTCCCCTCCACCTGCTGCAACGCCCCCCGACACCTGGAGGGAAGCGGGAGGACAGGCGGAGCTTGGAGCCACCGTGGGGAAGGAGTACATGTGGAAAGCACCCCAAAGTTCTGGGTCTCACACTGGTGACGTCCACAGGAGGCAAATGCTGGTTTCAGGTAAACTGTGAAGTCCAAGCAAAGGGACTGAAGGGAGACAGAGGGAGAGGCCAGGTCCCAGGCTGAGGGCCAGACGCGAAGGTGATTGCTTTCCTGACAAGGACAGGCTCTTTAGGACCCACCCCCACCCCACCCCCGCCCCTGGGCAGGGATAAATGCAGCCAGATCCCTGCTGCTCCCAGCCTAGACTACAGTTAGGGGGTTGGTGAGGACACACGGGGTGGTGTGACCCCGGTGGGTAGTGAGTGGATCCCAGAGCCTGGAGCCCAGAGGGTCATCAGGGAGTAACTCACTCCACTCTACAGTGACAGCACTGTCCAGGCTGGGGTGCTCCACGCGGCAGGTGTAGACATCCCCCTGCTGGGGGGTCATCTCCAGCATCACCAGGATCTGGAAGGTCCAGTCCCCGTTATGGATCAGATTGGTGGACACGACCCCCGCCGTTTCCTCCTGTCCATTCAGGAACCAGCGGACTTGAACGTGGCCGGGGTAGAAATCGGTCACGTGGCAGACAAGCAGGTCGGGGTGCTGCAGGGGCCCCTTCTTGGAGGGGGACACGTTCACTTTAGGCTGGACTGGGAGCGGGAAAAAGAACCTTGTTGTGACAGCGGAGACAGTTAACGCGGTGCATTTAGCAAATTTCTTGCAAACTGACTTCTAGAGGTTAAAGTAAATATGTCATCTGTTAAGCTGTTTGGAGGCAGAAGACGGGGAACTGTGCAGGAAAAACAATAAAACATTGCAATGTTCCAAGGACGACCTTGTCATCCACGATAAAGAAAGAGCAGAGAACAGGAGAGGGTCACATTTGGCACTTCCTCCAGGAACAGAGGACGTAGTAACTAATGTTTTCAACAGAAACGTTGAACCGGCTATGAAACTACCTAAATTTACATTTTCCCATCTTGTTCAAAAGGATGGACACTCCTTCCAGATATTACCTTGGAATCAGGAGATATCCAGTCAGCAGCATTTCTTTGATCTATCAGTCTGGTGTCCTCATTAAAAAGAGGTGAGGAATGGAAGTACCTTGACTCGTTTTTCATTTAACCTCTATGTCTCCTGGCCATCTCAGCCAAGGAAAGTTTCCAGCAAGATCCACAAACCCATGTTCTCAGCTCTTTCCTGTTGCATTAACAGGGAGCCTGCCCTTTCCCATGTGGTGTGGCCCCTGCGCCCGGTTAAGCCCTCTGGGATCCGGCCACCCAGCCAGGGACGGCTGGGCTTGGAGATGGGAGAGAGAGCACCCCCTTCTCCACCCCAAGCCCACCCTGCCGGCCTCCCCTTCCCCGCCCGCCCACCTCTGCGCTCCAGGGTGAAGGCCCTGTCCAGCTCGTAGTTGTGTCTGCACACCGCGTCCACGGCGCCCCGCCGCAGCTCCAGGAACTCCCTCTGGATGTTCCAGTTCCTGGCGGTCGTGCGCCCGAGCTCGGTCACAGCCACAAACACGCCCACGGTGCTGTCGAACTGCACGAACACGTCTCTGTTGTAAACATATCGCTCCAGGAAGCGGTGTGTCCCGTTGGACTCGTAGCAGTCACTCCTCCTCTGATACACGTGGACCGCTGAGAGCGAGAAGGACCAGGAGGGCTGAGCAGGCTGCCTGGTGCCGCCAGACACGCTGCCCACCTGGCTGCGCCCTTCGCTGCTGAGGCTCAATCCCCAGTAGGGGGTGTGCAGAAGGCTGCTAATCAATGATTTTCTCTCATCATTGATGTTTCTATCACCCTTTCTAAAAAAATAAAATAAATAAAGAAATCCTACATAATCACAAAATTTACCAATAGTGATCTGAAACCGAATAGAGGCTCAGAGTTTATGAGCATATGGGATTTAATACACAACAAAGGGAGTCCCTCAGCAGATGGGGTTGAGGAAACTGGCTTAGATAAGAAGGGAAAAAAATCTAGATCTGCATTTAACATAAAAACTTGGACCCCAGAAGGATTAAAAATCTAAACATAAATAGTATACTCTATGGTAAATATAAGAAGGTACAGGAGAAAACAATTATGAAAATGGGGTGAGGAAGCATTTCTTAAGCAAATATAAGAACACTAGAGGCCCAGTGCATGAAATTCATGCACTGGGGGGGGGGTGTACCTTAGCCCCACCTGCGCCCTCTCACAGTGCGGGAGCCCTCGGGGATGTCAGCCATCCTTAGTGCTGCCACGGAGGCAGGAGAGGCTCCCACCACCACTGCTGCACCCTCCAGCCATGAGCCCGGCTTCCAGCTGAGCAGAGCTCCCCCTGTGGAGGCACACTGACCAGTCATTCCACCGTTCAGTCAATTTGCATATTAGCCATTTATTATATAGAATAAGGGGAAAATATAATAAAATGCATTACATTAAAATTTAATACTTCTGTTAAGCAGAGGGTATCACTAATAAGTTAGTAGACAGGGAATAGAAATAGACTCACAATATCTAAAATGGAGATAGTGTCATATCCAAAAATCATTGCCCAGACCAATGTCAAGAAGCTTTAACTCTATGTTTTCTTCTAGGAGTTTTATAGTTTCAGATCTGACATTTAGGTCTTTAGCCCATTATGAGTTGATGTTTGCATATGGTGAGAGGTAAGGGATCATTTCATGTTTTTCTGCGGTGGATACAGAGACTGTCATTTCCCCACTCTGTGTTCTTGGCTCTTGTTGATATCAACTGACTGTAGATGTGTAGATTATTTCTGGGTTCTCCATTTCTTTCTATGGGTCTATATGTTTGTCTTTGTGCTGGTACCATACTGTTTTGGTTATTGTAGCTTTGTGAAATATTTTGAAATCGGAAGTGTGATACCTCCATCTTTGCTTTTCTTGCTCATGCCTTGGCCAGACAACTGATTATAAATGGCTGGCTGCCTGCAGTCCAATATGCCTTGGCCAGACAACTGATTATAAATGGCTGGCTGGTGTGGGGGATGTCTACTGAAGGAGTCTTAGGGTGCAGCTTCTCTATATGACTTAAAATGTATCATAAGTGGAAACTGCAGGTGGAATTTATCACAGAACTTCCCAGGCCACAGAAATGAGGGTGATGCTGCCCAGAGACGGAAGGAAAGACTCAGAAGAGTATGTCAACCCGAGGCTCACCACGTCAGGTCAGGGCTGAGCTCAGGGAGCCCAGGCTCCAGGTGGCGCTCCTCTGCCTGCTCTTCCCATGGCTCAGGAGCCTCCCCAAGTGGCTGTCAAGGAACCTTGAGGTTCCAGGAGCAGCAGGAGGAGGGTGTGAGGGGCCCTCCATTGTCTCTGTCACTGCAGAGCTGGCCAGGGTTGATCTGGGTGATCTGGTCAGCGTCCCTGTCTTTCCCAGTGTTCCCTGCGCCCCAACTTGAAGCTGGGGTCCGGAGCCACCACACCAGCCTCGGGGACACCTCGACTGTTAGCCCACGGGGTTCCAGCTGCGCTCATTCCTCTCCGACCGCCTGAGCCTGCCTCCTTGCCCAGTGCCTGCCCTCAGCCTCTGAGTTCCGGGCCCATCCAGGGTGGGGTCTCTGGCTTGTCTTCACCTGGCTCCCTGCTCCACTCCCCGCGTCTAACTCCGTTTCCTGTCCCACTGATAGGGCTCCCACCTGGTTTCCAATCAGGGCACATTTCTGTGGGTCCTGGGTAGTGGTTTGAATTTTTTTCTTTTTAAAAGCAATTGACTTTTCTCTCCCTCATGAAATCTAATTTGCAAAGCAGAGAACTGTCACACAAGGGTCTCTCAAAACTGCTTTTTTGTGTGTATGTGAAAGATATCAGAGTTTGTGAAACTCTTGGAAACATCTGAACTTTCTAGAGTAAAGCCTGACAACTTCTGTAAGGTAAGCCGTCTTTTCGGAACGGGCCATATTAAGAACATGTGATGAGGCCGGGGTCTGAGGAAGGCAGCACAGCGAGGGGGCTGCGGCCAGCTGTGTGCCCGGGACAATGGAGTCCCAACCTGTTCACCCCAAAAGGAATGTTCTATCTATTGGTTTATCTGGAAGGACTACAACTAAAATGACATCAGATGATGTAAAGGAAGCCTAGAGCGCAGTGTTGTCCTCACTGGAGGCGAGAGCCCTTCCCCCTTCAAGCTGTGACGTCTGTGGAGACCAGAGAAACCTGCTTGTTCAGAATGACTCAAAGGGCTGGCCTCGGGCCCAGCCTGAGCTCACAAAGGAGCGTTATTAACGCGATGCTGACGTCTCTCTGTTTCACCTCCTCTTTCCTTGCTCTGGGGGAAGGTGCAGACACCCCGGGGGGTTCCTCAGCATCGATTGGTGCGGAGAGCTCTGGACCCCGTCGCCTCCCCCAGCGACTCTCACACGGCGAACACTCATCTCATGCCTCTCACTGATCGGAACCCCTTGGCCTTCCACCTCCACCCGCCACGCTGCTCACTGCTCACCCCAAAGAAGCCCCGCCCTGACTGCAATGCACTCATCGATGCCCCGCTGTCCCCGCTCCCAGAGACCTTCTGTGCCTCCTGCACGGCCTCCCCTCTCACCTCCTGCCGGACCCTGTCCCATCTCCCAGCGGCTCCCATGGCCCCTGTTCTCTGACTCACGCTCCTCCATTCTCCTCTCACCTGCAGGCACAGCCCCACAGCTGAGCTGCCCCGTCCAGTTCTCTGCCCCCCTGAGTGGTGAGTGTCAGAAATCTCCTTCCTTCTGAGACATGGGTGCAACGGGATGGGGTTTGAGCAGATGACTTAGGGAGTTTTAAATGCTATTAACCCTAGAAGTTGGGAAAGACGCGGGAGGGAACCCGAGTCTCAGAGAGAAGTGGGACTGGCTTTCTGGGCGGAGATGGAGAGGTTGGGGAATTCTAACATAAACGACTTCATGGTCTGTTCCCTGTTCTGCATACCTGGGCTTGGGGGGAAACGGGAACGAAAGGGGCCATTTCCTGCTTCCCACTTCCTCTAAGGCCCGGGTCGCCTGGTTCTGTGGAAGGGCCTCCGCCTGGGGCACGGTTGGCTGTGGGACCCTGGATCCTGGACACTGCAGAGTAAGCGTGGTTCCAGTCTCCGATGCTGGAACGTCATCCTGACCCCTCCGTGAGAGCCTTGTCCCCCCAAAGCCATTCCTGGCCGCCAGGCGAGTTGTGTCCCGCAGGCACACACCCTGCTCTCTTCTGTCTCTGGTGGGAAATGTGGCCCCTGGGTGATGTCGGCCCTCAGAGCCTCTCTGTGGGTTGGGCCCACATGGGATAGGCTCCCCCCCCATCATTCCCCTGAGCCAGGCCCCCCAAGAGCAGTGGCTCTGCACTTACCTGGGGTGTCTTTGCCCTGAGCCCAAGGGAAGCTCAACATCACCAAGGGCATCAGCAGAGCAGCCATGCAGGGGGCCCCAGCAGCCTGCGGGGCCACCATCTTGGTTCCCGGGGTGGGGGTGGTGGTGGTGGTGGGGGAGGCCTGGCCGAGAGATTCGCAGAAGGAGCAGCGTGCACTCCGTGGACCTCCCTCCTCAACTATTAGAGTCATGAGCAGGACAGCCCCTGCATCCCTGGGTGTGGCCGGTTCCAGAAAGGGAACCAATGGGTAGGACTTGTCCCTCCAGGCAGAGGGCGGGGTGAAGCACATGAGCCTTCAAGGGGTAAGAGCCACTGAGGACAGTGAGGAAAGGGGTCCTCACGTGAGGAACTGGGTGAGCCACGGGCTTGTTTCTGTGCTTCCCTTGCTCGGGTGCAGACACCAGCTTGCCAGTCCCACTCTGCTCTGGGGTGAGCGCCACCCCCCATGACGAGTTCTGGGAGCGGGCAGCCCTGAGCAGTCGCAGTCCGGGGGCCGGACTGTCCCGCAGAGCTCGGGCACAGCCATGGGAGTGCGGTCTCCTCCCCGCGAGGCCTGCCTGACCTCCCGGCACAGGGCAGAGGAGGGGCCCCTGACCTAGCACCACGGCAGGCGTGCAGGTAAGCGTGCAGCTCTGGGCAGCACTTCTTGTCCTTCCTGGGCCAGTTTCTTCACATTTGAAGCGGGGATGGTAGTGCCGCCTCCTCCGTAACTCTGTGTGAGTGAGTGAGAGCAGTCATGTAAACTGCCTGAGACACGTGAAGATCTGAGAGGGTTTGAATAGACCAATGACGTCACAAGGACCGTCCTCTTCTTGCAATTCAGTATGTTTTTTGGGGTAACGTTTTAATCCAAATAATCCCCAACAAACCAATTTACATATAGTTCTTATATTGAGGTGACTACCTCCCCCTGCACACAAAAGTCAGAGAGAAAATGACAAAAGAATCTAATTCCCCACCAGCTTATTAAGGGCCTAAATAAAATGCCAACAATGAGTGAAAGCACATCTGGGAATTGGGGGTAGGTTTGCTGCTGGGACCAGGATGTTCCGGTGAAGCGGTCAGACTCAGGGTCAGACTCAGGGCTGTGGGAGACCTCCCAGCTGGGAAGCCCTCCCTGCTGCTGCCCGCCTCTGGCCGAAGCTGGGGCCAAGCCACCTGTGACTCGGTTCCTCTCACGTGGGATGGAGATCACTGTGGCGCCTATGCCGCTGGTTTATTGGGAGAAGTAATTGGGATCCTCTCTAAACAGAGCCTTGATCGGGGAAGGTATCAAGCTATGCTAATTATTACAATGCTAGG